TCGCGGAGAACCTAACGGGTAACCGGGGCTCCGGCTCGACGTGCAGGAGAAGGAACGGGGTGGTTTTTAGTCAGTAAGAGTCTGACACTCCCTCCCGCCTCACCCAGGCGGGGGCAGTCATTCGATGATTTTCCCCCCTTAAAAAAAAAAAAAAAAAAAAAAACTCATTATAATTATGTATACTCTTCCACTAAATGTAACCCATTCCATTACGAAGTAACTTATTGTTATATTTATGTAACCAAATGTAATATTTATTATTATTCTTAGCCAAACTGTTTAACATTTTATACGTAACTGATGTTAACTAATGAATGTATGTTACACAATATTTTATTGTTACTTCGTTAACATATTTCTTTGACGTGAAGACAAGTCGTAATTAGGTTTTAAATTATCTGAAATGCACACGACACAAGCACATGCGCTATAAAATAGTAACTGCATATATACGCGTGCATGTGATGTGAGCATCGCGCATCCGAGGTACAGTATATTAATTTAAACTTTAAGTGTGCATGTGTAAGGCTTAATATTTCTTAATTCATATATATCATAACTTTTCTACCTAAATCGTACCTCCATCTATATCACACGTTTATATTAACTTTCATAATTCACTAATAATCTGCATATTAAAGATATATCAACAAAATATTTGGGTCCACCGCTGCAAAATTTGGCGTAACGAATTAATTAAGGCTATTGTTTGTTTATCTCGTGAGAGTTGATAGAAGATAGAAGTAGAGTGACGTCATTGATTTAGTCATCAGCTGACAACACAGGGCTAGTACGTATCGCTTAGCGTAGCTTTTACATAGATGCTGGGATTATGGAAGCTGGGCAAACGTTTGGACATGAATTGGAGAGTGAATATCAACATTTAGTGTTAGGAAGGATTCTTATATTGTGGGAAGATGGGTCCGACTAGTTAACTTACCGATTTATAGAGTTCTAGTTCATTATAAATAAATGATTATACGTAGTAATCTCCCAATCAAGTTCGTTATCGATTTTTAGAATATCCATGACCCATTTGACCACAAAATAAGAATTAGGAATTGTAGAAAATAGCTGAAATTAATATAAATAAAATAATGAATAACGAAATGAAAAATAACTTTCGAAGAACTCAAAATTATGACATTCGAGAAACAGAGAAAGAACAAAATTACGAGTCCATCCAAAAAATAGATTGCCAAGAAAAATATTATGAAGAAAACAAAATATATGTTCCTCGAAATTATTAGGAAGGTAGTGTACGGTTGTTAGCGATCCCGCATAGAGTTTTTGTTATCCCTTAGAAATTATGGCTTAGAACAAGAGCATGTGATTTGGAGACGACACTTACTGCCAACATAACTGCCATTAATTAGAGAATATTACGCACACATGCGCACACATACGTATAAGCGTCCATTTGCGCACTATACGTCGCTTGTGCATTTACAATACAGGGCTAATAATTTAGCTTTGATGTAGTATTCGTGCGCATTCCATACACAAGTAACGATAGCTATTTGAAATGTCCTCTCCAGTCTAAATGCTCTAAGCCAGATTTAGCGGTATTATTTTAAAGGAAATGATTTCAATTTGAGTGCCTGATGTTCGGAATAATATAATAATTATTTGATCCCTCCGTAATACCTGTTTGCCTTATTTTATTAGTGTCGTATTGATTTCATAGATGGCGTGCTAGGTATGTTTATGCATAATATTATATAGCATTATTGAATTATTAGTCAATAAAGTAATTTAGATGTATTTTAAACTTCTCTACTTGATGTTAATGTAATTCAGTATTGTAATTAGATTTTTGGTTTGGGTGTTTTGATCGACTGATAATTATATATTGCAATTAATTAATAACTTTGTAATAAAAATACGTCAGTCGATTAATCATCCCAAACTATCAAAATCAAACAACGTGGAAGTTTTTAATGCTTCTGGTCGTTTATCTTAAGACATATATTTTTAACCCCAGGGTCCAAAAAAACACCAATCTCGCCTCTCACTTGGACTATCCTGGCCCATTCTAGACCTGTAGACCATCAGCAGTAGAGTTTAGTCTTAGGAGCTAGGTTACTGAGTACCTAACGTGACTCCGTTTATAAAGTCATACATTGTGAATGAGGTAAAATGAATTGGACAATAGATTTTTTACGAATGTAACAAGCACAAACTTTCTGTATTCCGATCAATATAATATTATTTCTATTTATTTGAATTGTCAAGTAATGAAGAATTATCGTGGGATTAGATATATGGACATTGTAACAGTGAGATCGTATAGACGAATGTTGTATTCAGGGAAACGACAATAAGGTATCGCGAATTGAAAAGAATCGTACCGTTTGACGTTTCTATAAAAATGTAATTATACATACAAATAGAATTATTTATATAAAAATAAAAGTGCATCGCATTCATTTATTTAGCTAAGCTTCAACGTTTGGGAAGAACAAATGACAATAGAATTTCTAGATGGCGCTGCCTAAATGACAGATGACAGTTGTCTCAAAGTGAAGACAGCGGCCATTTTTCAATTTCACGGGAAAATCGAATTAAAATCGATTTGAGTAATGTGTAATTGGGTAATTTAATGACGGAGTATGTGGAGCTAATTCTACTGCTGTTTCCTTTCCCTTTCCCCCGATTGCTTTGCGATATAGTCACACTTGTGCCAGAATGACACTTTAGCGACATTCTTAGCCCAAGTTTTAGGTCAAACGAATATAGAACATGAGATTTCTATTTAGAGAACGATATATGATCAGGAAATTGAAGACAAAGATCAAAAAATCTACTAAATCGATATATTTCGAAACGATTGGTCTCATGAAACCTTTTTGATGAAGCATTTTGCTATTTGATGCGAAAGAAATTATAAGATGGGCCTCTAAATCGTAAAATCCTCATGTTCGAAATGTCGTAGTAGATCTTATATACCTTATATAGGTTCACGCCTAATTATAATAATCCCATCGGACCACGTTAAGCAATATATCTATATATTTGATAGGCCCATAGATATTTCATAGATTTTTAGTAGGCGTAGCTTACTTTAGAATTTTATATTTAAATAGTAAAATATTTATAGTGTCGATGTCTCCATGTGAATACGTCATTTTATGTGTGTTTTAATATTATTCTGGATTTTATATGTGTTGTTATATAACGTAGAACTCGTGATCTGATATTGTAAATTATATATAATATAAATACTTATATAACAACAACAAAATATACGAGGCGGAAATTTTGAAGACTTTTTATGAAACACCAAATATTTTTTCTTTTGTACATTTTAATAACGTCGAATTATTATATATTTTTTACAATATCAGGTAATAACTTATCAGTGTATTATTGTTAACAAACATTTAGATGGCAACATTTATCCATGCATCAATTTGAATATTTCATTGGTAGAAAACTGTCTTTTTGTAAGATATAAACTTTTTTGGATAAAATGTACACATCGTAATATACTTTTGTTTATTTGCAAATAGTTAGTGACTTTTATATACGGAGTACAGCAATATATATAGAGAGCAATATACATAATATATAATATTGATATTGGTATAAAAGTCATATTAACAACGCCTTTGAAATACAAATAAGTGATTAAGTTATATTTCTATTTGCAAATAACTAAAAAGTACGCTTAAATCCATATACCGCGCATTTTCTTTATAGAAAGAAAATCTTTTAATAAAAATTAATATCCACCATATTATAATAATCATAAAATCGCCAATTGACTGTCTCATCGGAATATCATTTTGAAGTATAATAATTATTAATTATTACATATCCGATATACACAATTTTCTGAAGAAGTTTTTACGCACAAATGTAATGAAAAATATCAAAATATCAAAGTGAACAGTTTAGGAAGACGCCCGAATATGGGCAGTTGCGTTCCCGTCTTTAATTTACATTGTTTTTTAGAATTATTGTGCCGTAATTGTTTATCTGTTGTTTAATGTAATTTCGAAATATATTCTGATGTTTTATTATATAAAATATATTGTTGTTTCATTCTGACAGCGGTATCCACAGATTTGAGTGTGTTAGGTCCTATCCCTGATCAGTATATAACTTTTTAGCTTTTGAGATTTAGGTTCCTAAAATAACTCAAAAATGGTTTACAATCGTGCTCAATTTAGCACTAGACGTGCCTCTTCGTTTGTTCACTGAAAAAAATGAGTATGACATCACGAAAAGGCATAGTATTAAACATGTAAATAAAACAAAACAAGCTGTTGTACTTTCATGATTATTATTGTTTTAAGTATTTAATTAACAATAGTCTTACAATATATCTTATTGAGTATGAAATCTTTCTCGTTACGAATGGAGATTGTCTCTTAAGAAATAAATATTAAAACTTAATCGTACTATTTACATTAGCTGCAAATATTACCTGCGATATGCGTCATGATAACAGGAGCACGCCATGAATTATATGCACACGACGTCATTTAGATCACCTTGAAAACAAAAATATTATAGCCTTTTTCAATAAGGCAAGCCTATAATTGAATTTCTTTATGGAAACAATTCAAAACGTTTCTTAACAAGAAAATCACAAAGAAAAACAAATGCTTTGGTTAGTTTCATCCTGGCTGCTAATGAGTAAAACGGTATTTCCATACGTGTTAGATCTGTTAGTAATATTTGTACTATTATTGTATGAAGTAACCTTTTAAGCAACGAAATAATTAATATTTTTTGTTCTGGATTTATTCTTAAAATCGTATTCGGCAAGACCAAATCTGGCTGAAGGCGTCCAACTATATTCATGTATAACATACTATATTAATTATTATGTGTTTCGGCTTCCTCAAGTAATTATTTGACAAGGAACTCGACAAGTTTTAAGCCATACTAGAGGCTCATATTCATGAGCAGCATTTCGCGACCCGCGACGCGGCAACTGTCGCGCTGCTACTGAGTTCCTCGTCAAATAATTACGTGAGGAAGCCGAAACACATACTAACTAAACGTCCAACTATATTTAAAAACTGGACGTCATCTTTCCACAAAAGATGACACAATATCTTTTTCGAAAGATATCAGATCTTTGACATTATTATCGTGTCCATAGTATGCAGAAGGCGGTCTTCTCTAGTCTAATGAGAAGATCTTTTCCGGTCTACTGAAAAGTTAAATCATCTCCGGTCTACTGAGACCTTAAGACTTCTCCAGTCTATTAAGAACTTAGGTCTTCTCCAATATACTGAAATAAGGTGGTAACTTCTTGTCTTCGTGAGACCGGGATCAGAAGGTTTCGTTGTCGAACCACTGCCACATTCTTGGCTTCGTGTAGTCCAGCTCGTACTCTTCACATCTTTGACCTGTTATCCTGTATAGTGAGAAGATTATATTATTGAAGTCTGATAGCAACTTAACTAGGTATTTTCTACTATAATACATAACTCAATTTTACTTCTAGTTTAAACTCTTCTATAATTTTGGAGTTTGTTTAATACTACTAGTTTAAATATAAAAAGCTAAGGTGAACAAATACTTTTTTTGGGTAACAATCAAATCTGTCATAAGTATTGATAAAAATTAAATCATAACATGCAGATCTAACAATAAGCAAAAAAGGACTAAAAATAAATAAAATTAGAATTTTGAGGTCTCAGTTACCTATAGTATAGGTATACTATAACCTAAAAAACTCGTTGTCAATACTCGTATTCTCACCTGGTCTTCCTAACACACTTGACAATAGGGTGCGCATTCCTGAAGCACTGCGGCCCGAGGATGTTGAAGTATGTGACTCCGATCTGTGCTGATACCAAGGAGTTGGTGCGCCGGAGACAGTCACGAAACTTTGCATCGCAGCTGCAGTGAGACCTGGTGGAAAGTCAGAACGTTAACTGGATATATATAATTACTGGTATATTTTATTTTAACATAACATAACAACATCACGCCTTTTTATCCCCGAAGTGGTAGGCAGAGGTGCACATTACGGCACTTAATGCCACTGTATAATGTAACACCTACTTTTCACTATTTATGTTATGAGTCCCATGTAATAGGGGGTGAGCTTATTGCCAAATACAGGCACATTTCCAAACTCCGTACTACTATTGAGATTTTTAAAAACTCAGTAATACTTTGTCCGACCAAGGAATCGAACCCGAGAAGTAACAAATGATACAAGTGGTGCTTAACTATAAAGAATCAACATCATCAATTAAAAGACATCCGTATTAAACAAAGGTTTCCTTAGGTTCTCTTCACACGCTCTGATTTTTGGAAAGTCGTTTCCGACTACCCATTGACTACATAGTACAACAAAGAAATCATACCAGATACTAAACGCAGTAACTAAAGCTTATATAAACGATACAATCAACTTGTCAATCAACTGTGAACATGTCCGTTTGTTGTATAACTTCCGACAACACACACACTCATACGTACTTATAATTATTTCACATAACAATACACATTTACTTCGCTTGACAATAAGAAAAAAATAAATTTGCTAATAACGTCCTTAGTGCTACGGAAATAAGGTATAATCAAAAGGTATTATTGCCATAAACGGGTGATATTTATATATGATATAATTAAAATAACTTGTTGCTTATATAATGCAGTATGCAGTAGGTATGTAGGTAACTGAGAAGTGTGGAAGCCCGGAGGGTATTGTCCTAAAATTACTCAATACTTGGTAGCATTTTTATTTACTTAAACACTGAGATATTTAAAGAACGAAGCTTAAAGTAAAATTACTTTTAACTGACTTCAGAAAATAAAGAGGTTCTTAATTTCTGCGAGTCTAATTGAAAGATGAGATGAGAGATTAATAGGATGTAGTTTTCATACGAAATAATGTATCGTTTGACTGTTAAGCTTCTTTGATTATTGTCCTTTTATACATAAAATATAACCTATTATAAGCGAAATACTTAATCAATACATAGTATAAAACAAAGTCGCTTTCGCTGTATGTCCGTATGTATGCTTAGATCTTTAAAACTACGCAACGGATTTTGATGCGGTTTTTTTTAATAGATAGAGTGATTCTTAAGGAAGGTTTGTATGTACAATACATGCATATTGCACCCGTGCGAAGCCGGGGCGGGTCGCTAGTATATAATAAATGCTAAATATTAAATACTTATATTTACTTAAAAAACATACTTTACGCAAAGAGAAAAGAAACAAAATACAAAACCAATTACTATCGCAATGTTACTATCAAACTCAATACCACTATAACTTTACCCATCTATCTCTCAATACTCCTCTTCGCAGCCACCATCTCATCACCCTTGACGGAGTGGTCGTGGTTAGGACGTAGTGGTCGGAGTCATGCTCCGAATCAGTTGCTGTAGCCCGTCTCATTATGTTCCACCATCTCTCCTGACTAGCCGATATTTTAATACACGCATTCAGAGGCTGCCTCGTTGGCCGAGTGGTCGCAAGTGCGACTGCCGGGCAAGGGGTCTCGGGGTTTTACTGGGTTTTTAAAAAAATCTCAGTAGTAGGACGGAGTCTGGAAATGTGCCCGGTATATGGCAATAGACTCACCCCCTATTACATGGGACTCATAACATAAATAGTGAACAGTGGGTATTACATTGTACAGTGGCATAATGTGCACCTCTGCCTCCCTTCGGGGATGAAAGGCGTGATGTTATGATGTTATGATGATCATTCAGAGGCATGCTCAAAACAGTCTTTACTTGATGAGCCCCTCGCATCGCCGATCGTAAATACCAATACAACTTGCAGATAATCCGAGTAACAAGCATGGCGGCACTTTCTCCGCGCGCCGAACTCTTGCGCAAGCTCTTATCTAATGATGCAGATGTTTAGTACCGTTTACTTGTCCAACTACTAACTACTATAGTTAAGTAGTTGTCGCGGAGAACCTAACGGGTAACCGGGGCTCCGACTCGACGTGCAGGAGAAGGAACGGGGTGGTTTTTAGTCAGTAAGAGTCTGACACTCCCTCCCGCCTCACCCAGGCGGGAGCAGTCATTCGATGATTTTCCCCCCTTAAAAAAAAATAGTTAAGTAGTTGCGTTGATATAAACTTGGCAGTACCCTGTACGTACTTCCAAGTTTTGTAAGTTATTTCTTATAGGGTCCTATTTTTGTGGTGATTCTGAGATGTATCTTATGTATTGGTGTTACTATGTCCTCACATATTTGTACCAACGAAACAATGTAACCATTAAGAGGGCGGCTCTCACATGGCATGTATTATTTTGAATTACTTTATACTCAGATTTATTTAAGTTGTAATTTTGTTAATTTAAAGTTGTTTACTATTGTCTTCCTTCTACAACCTTTTAATGCATGTGGTGTTTACCTTTAAGTGATTGTAACACTAAAGTACCTATGTATCTGTTGCTTGTCACCTAAAATTAGAAAATAAGTAGTATGTACAATTGTTGGTGAACCAATAAATAAAAATAAATAAAATAAAGTGAACACATCTCCAAACTATGTATTAAATGTTCGATAGTAATTACAAACTTATTTAATAAGCGCAGCCAAATCACAATCATGATATAACTTACTATACAAGTAAATAATTATGTAATGTTATGACAATAACAATCAAAGTTACAAGTGACAATACAATAACAGGGTATTAAATAGAATCCCACGTAACTTAATGTAACATAACAAGTGACAACAGTTACATAGTTTTCCTCAATAAAAACAAACATAGATATGTAATAAAATGAACAATGCGAGAGACCGATTTCAGAGGCGAAATTAAAAGCGGAATTTTTTTTTCATGGCATAAGCCAGTAAACTAGCTAACGGATCACCTGATGGTAAGCAATCGGCATCGCCCATGGACATCTGGAACACCAGAGGCGATACAAGTGCGTTACCGGCTTTTTGGGGATTAGGAGTTTGAGGATCGTTGGGGATTCAGGGATTGGGGAATGTCAAAAATACGCCACATTACACGTAGAAATTAAAATTGTATCTCTGATTAACCATTCGCGAGCATCTCGAGCACTGTATGTCCATACATGGGCGGTATTTGAATATAAAAATGCAATGCCAAATGCGAATGGGACAATTAAGGCTGGTTTTAATTTCACACCTACAGCACACTGATCGTCGACGTCGACAGACGAAATATATGAACTTTCAAGGAACCGTGCGAGTCGATAGCTATGCGTCAATCAAAAACACTTCCCAGAAGTTCATATATTATATCTCGGCCCATCGGTGCTGACGATGACGGCAGGTGCACAGACAAAACCAGCCTAAGATCGATCAATGTACCAGAAACCACACTACAACCAAAATAGCCTTAAGATCAGATACCAGCAGTCTTCGAATAAAACCTTAAGAAAATGAGTACCTCCCCGCAACATAAATATTGAAAAGTAAGTGTTACATTGTTTGTACAGTAGCATAATGTGCACCTCTGCCTACCCCTACGGGGATGGGCTCGCTGCCATCGCAGCGGTAAGTCCCCTCTTTGAGGAGTGGCTTGAGAGACGCTACGGCGTCCTCACCTACCGCCTGACGCAGGTCCTCACCGGACATGGAAGATTCGGAAGGTACCTGTGTCTGATGGGGCGGGAGGAAACGTCCGGGTGTCATCACTGCGAGGACCGCCCTGAGGACACGGTGGAACACACGGTGGGAGAATGCCCTTCGTGGGCTGAGCACCGCCGTGTCCTCAGGGAAGTGATCGGCGATGGCGACCTCTCGCGTCCGGGCCTAGTGCAGGCCATGATGCGGAGCGAGGGGGATTGGGATGCCGTCTCCTCCTTTTGCGAAGCAGTCATGCTAGCTAAGGAGGAGGCGGGACGCGTGAGGCAGCGAAGCGCTGCCTCCTCGCAACCCAGCCATCGCGAAGGACACACCGGGCGTCGGGGATCGCGGGACGATCTCCGGCCACCGTAAGCGCGGGCCTGCGGACGGCGAGCATGGGTGGCTCCCCGTCCGACCAGAAACAGACCCGAGCGTACGGCGCGTCGCGTTCCGCGCGCGCCTCAAAGAGCCATCAGACCACCACAGATGGGGCCCAATAGGGCCGATGCCGATTCGGAGTCGCGGAGAACCTAACGGGTAACCGGGGCTCCGGCTCGACGTGCAGGAGAAGGAACGGGGTGGTTTTTAGTCAGTAAGAGTCTGACACTCCCTCCCGCCTCACTCAGGCGGGGGCAGTCATTCGATGATTTTCCCCCTTAAAAAAAAAAAAAAAACCCCTACGGGGATAAAAAGCGTGATGTTATGGTATATGTGTAATGTGTATGTGTATAATCAGTAACTGTTGACAATAATGCGCTATTATTTAACTTCCTACACATCGCGTTACACAGAATTACGTAACCTAGTTATAGAACTCAACGATTCTTGACACCATCAACTTATTGTTAGGTAATTGGTTTTTTTTTGTTTTTAATTGTGGGAGAGCCATGCTTCGGCACGAATGGGTCAGCTCGACCGGGCTGATACCACAGCCTCACAGAAGACCGACGTGAAACAATGCTAGCGTAGTGTGCCGTCGTGTACTCACTCGAAAGTGAGAGTGAGGTGACCGGAGGCCCAATTACCTAGTGTGCGACTACTAAATATAAGATTTCAATGTGGCGGTAATTTAGAAATAATACCGTATAGTGTCTGGAAATCATGCCCTGTTTGTTGTAATGCGCTAAACGTGGGAGTCCTTACTGGCGAAACTTGAGACATTTTTTTTATGGCATAAGCCGGTAAACGAGCTGACGGATCACCTGATGGTAAGCAATCCGCGTCGCCCATGGACACCTGGAACACCAAAGGCGTTACAAGTTTGAGGATCGTTGAGGATTCAGGGATTGGGGAGATCGGGGAAGGGAAGGATAATTGAGCCTCCG